CCCCGGGCTGCGGCACCGGCAGCTCGTGCCCCCCGGGGGTCAGGCGGTAGGTCAGCCCGTAGCCGCTGGGCAGACGGGTGACCTGCTGGGGGCCCAGCGCGCGCTTCTTGACGCAGGTGGGCCCCGCGAACTCAGGCCTGCACAGACACTCGTAGCTCACCTGGGTGCGCTGCAGGCAGGTGCCCCCGTTCTGGCACGGGCCGCTGGCGCAGTTGGTCACCGGGCGGCTGCAGGTCTTGTCGATGAAGCCGGCTGGGCACCGGCAGCGGAAGTCACCACCGATGTCCGTGCAGACGCCATCATTCTCGCACGGGTTGGGGGTGCAGCTGTTGGCGGCCAGGATCTCGCAGAAATTGCCTGAGAAGCCAGGGGGGCACAGGCAGGAGGCGTGGGAGGCCCGGCCCTCGTTGTCCATGCAGGTGCCTCCGTGCTGGCAGGGGGAGCTGCAACACAACAGGGATGCGTAAAGGACCCTCAGAGACTGGGCTAGGACATGCGGGGGTGGGGGGCTCCTCTCGCACTCACAACTTCCACAGGAACCCAGGACCTGACAGCGGGTGGGTGCCCAAAGCGCAGCAGACGAGGGAGGAAGGCAGGAGGCAGTGCCCAGACAGGGTCCCCACCCTGGAGGGCCTGGCCCATGGTCACAGTGGGACGCACCAGGAGGCCCGTGTCCACACCCACCATTTCTGCGGCTCTCCAACCAGAGGACTAGTCACCCGGTGATGGGGAAACTGAGGCTGAGAGAGGCGAAGCCTGTGACAGACAGGTCTGGAGCAAACCCCTCCCTCCGCCCTGTGCCGGATGAGGAGGCCAAACCAAGCACAGAGCAGCTCCCTTCCCTGCGGCGTGTGGTCAGGGCCAGCAGCCCCCTGGGGCTGTAGTCATCTTTGTTTAAGCAGAGCGCCCACGGCATCGTGCTGGAGACCCTTGGGGACTGTCCGAGGGGAGGAGGTACGGTCTGTCTGGGCTGGCACGAGCCGGCACCCCGCTTAACACTGCTCCATTCACCCAAGTGCGGCTCACAGACCAAAGCTGTCTGCTCAAAGCGGAGCCCACGGGGCATTTAATGTAAGTGCTTTTAAACGAGCAAGCCCTTTGTCATCTGATAAATGCCAAAACTCCAGGGAAGAAAGGGGCCAGAAACAGACAACCAGCATCCCGGCTGCAGGCCAGGGCTGCCCAGGAGCTGGGCTCCGAAGGAGTTTCAAGGACCCTGGGCTCTATTTTGACAGACTGGTTCAAGTTTGTTAGAGAGGAAAGCAAAATATTTTAAAGGTCTTGCTCTGTTTTTTCCCTTCTTGCTAATAAGCAAGAATGGAGTTCAGCCGTCACGCCCTGCTCTGACCCGCTTCTGAACACTGGTCTCAAGAAGCCGCGCCTGTTTATAGCTTGCAGAGCGAAAGGACACCCCTGCCCTCTAGCTACCAGTCCAGGACTGGACCCCAGTCTGGATCCTTGAATTCAGACTCTGCCTCCATCAGGAACTGCCCTGGCTCTGGCCGGGTCCCAGTGGAGGTGAGGGCTTCGGGCCTGGCACAGCTAGGAGACAACAGGGGCCATGCTGCCTGCGAGAACCACAGCTGGGGGAGGCGGGGGCGGAAGCCCCTGGGGACAGCTGAGAGCTGAAGCCCTCTCCCCACCTCCTTGGCCTGACCCTCTCAGCACAAGACATCCTAGAAAATCCAATTGCAGAGCCCACCTGCTGCCCAGAATGCCCCCTAGAAGAAGGTTAAGGGGTTTCCCATCCTGCCCGGGGACCC